ATTCATGTTATTGATGCCATTTTGTCATCAATAAAATGAATATATAAATCTCTCAGAGGACTGTGGCTGTATCGGCACTGTGGAATTAATGCACTTGGGCATCACTTTAACTGCTAATGCTCAGTGTTATGGAATCCTGGGATTAGTAGTTTAGAAAGACATCGGTACTTTTTGACAGAGAAGGATAAAGACATAAATCTCAGAATCCCATAGCACTGAACCATGGCAGTTAAAGTGGTATCAAGCTCCATTCATTCTACATTATAGATCTGGCATGGTCAAACTTCAGCACTCCAGGTGTTTTGACAACTCCACAATTCCTAACAGCTGGTAAGCCAGAGGGGATTTCTGGGAGTTGAAGTCCAAAACACATAGAGGACTGAAGTTTGTCCATGCCTACTGTAAATGCACCCTATGATTTGTTCTGACCCTGCTTTACAACTCCAGGTGACATGTTCAGACAAACTATAGAGTCACATCAACTAGAGTTATCCTTTCCACGAGGCCAGGCGTATCTATACATATGAGCTGGTAAAAAGGAAGATTTCTTAATAGCAAACATTGGTATTTTAGTGATCCTCAAACTAGACACATTTCCATCTGGTGAACAAACTTTACATGCGCTAACCCGTTACACACATTCCAGTTTTGCCCAAACCAGCTGCCCTCGTTCATTCTGTGAATGAGGATTTGTTCAACTCTCTGTGAATTGCAGCTATCAAATACATACTTTATAGTGGAACGGTTTTCTACTATATCCATCAAATGATTCTTCATACACAGATAGGCTTTAAATCTTTGCTCAAGGCCTAGTCCTAACCCGTAAATTACCTCCTCACCTAAATCCTTCTTATCCCATCTCTAATACCTACTGTCAATCCTTGACCTCTGTCCCTTTCTTCCTTGTCCATTTAATGAACTCTGATATGGAACAGGTTGCACTCAAGCCCTGCTTCCCATAGTCAACAATAGGACACATGAATGCATGGTTCACAGGTTCTGAATTTTAAGTTGAAAACTTCATTGGATCTTATGATATATGGAGCAAGACCAGGAACTGCCAAAACTTGGGGGGAAATAGATTATTCATCAATAAAGAATTTGTTAAACAAAACATAGGTCATAGCCCTATTAGAAAAGCCAGCACGTAAGACTAGCAAACGGATTTTTAAAAAAAAAAAAAAAAACCTTATTTGACATTACATGGAAAGCATTTGTTAGTTATATGTGTTAAAATAATGTCAAGTTTAAAGCAACAAAAGATCAAGTGAAAATTTGGACTAATTGCCAAATAAATACTATTATTATAATACACAATGGAATATATTGAAAAATGCATATGTAAAATATATAGAACTATATTTTTGTGAATTGGGGAGGTTTGGGAGGGGGTGGCATTTGGAATGAAGAGGGTAACTTGTTGGATTAGAGATAATGTATTACTCTTCACTGTCAATAAAATTAATTAAAACTTTAAAAAGAACTTCACTGGATATGTTAGGGTTTGCTTTGTCTGCTCACTAGATGAGAGAAGGAGAACCTTTGGCCCTCCGAGTGTATCAAGCTTCAGCTCCTTGAAGGCCCAGCTAGTCTAGCACATAGTGAAGGATTATGGGGCTTGTAATCTGAAAACACAGAGGAGCAAAATTCCCCATCCTTGTAGACACTGAAGCATCGCTTCATGACAAAATCTGATGGTGGTGGGCAGGCATGTAGCCAGGGGGGGGGGGCTTGGGGGGCTTCAGCCCCCCCCTCCCAAATTCTCATGGTGGTCCATGAGAAGGCCTTACTGGTGCATTATTTAAGCTGTTATGTTTATTCATATCATGATCTGATCACCATATTCAATATATCACATATGCATGGGGGGGATTGTGGTAACGATACAAAAGGTTTGCTAGGGTAGACCCTCTTTCACGCAGACTCAGCCCCCCCCCCCCGAATCAAAATCCTGGCTACGGGCCTGGTGGTGGGGCAAGCAGTCAGTTTCTATCCTCAAAGGCAATATTGAATGCTTATTATACGAGCATGAGATTTTTTTTGTGCTTGTCAGGAGCAACTTGAGAAACTGCAAGCCACTTCTGATGTGAGAGAATTGGCCATCTGCAAGGACTTTGCCTAGGGCCATGATGATGAACCTATGACACGCGTGTCAGCACTGACACGCATGGCTATTTTTGATGACACACGACCACATGCGGCCGCATACAGAGAAGTACACCTTATAAGAGCCAATCTAATTCCATCCTTAAATTTGTAAAAGGCTCTACAAACTTAACATCTGCACGTTTGAGCATTGTTCACTCCATAACTCAGCATGGAATATACATTTTTCTTATTTAAACTATAAATATTGCAATATTATTGGGGGGGGGGGTTCCCTCGAAGTTGACACCCCACCCAAGTTATGCTCAGGTTTTTAGCAAATTTTGACACACCAAGCTCAAAAGGTTGCCCATCACTGGCTTAGGGTATGCCTGGATATTTTAACATCCTGTGATAGGCCTGTCCCTGCATGAGAAGCTGGAACTGAGAGATGCTCCCCGGATTCAAACCACCGACCTTTCGGTCAGCAGTCCTGCCGGCACAAGGCTTTAACCCATTGTACCACCAGAGATGAAAAAGAGATACGGGAGAGAACAGGGGAATCAGAACTACCAGGGATAGGGTTTTATTCTTGAAATATTCACTCCCATAACACTTCCTGTCATGACATGACAAATAACATGTTTGCAACATCACCATCAACTTTTAAATTATATTAAGCAACTCTTTAAGAGTACCCCTCTGTCATTACTTCTAAGAATCTTAGTTGGCTCACTGAATAATGAATCAAACCAAGATTGCTATGCTGTCCTAAGCACAACAACTGGGAGGTTAATCCCAACAAATCTACATCTGCACAACATGGCTGAATGAGAGAATTTTGCTGCAATAGAATTCTGGAAGAAGCCCAGGACTAAAAAGAGAGAACAGAGAATGACACCTCAACTTGAAGGCTAGAAAAAGAAACATATGAACATCCAAAAAATGTTAAAACTCTGTCAGCTGCAGTAAATCTACTGTTTATGAATGACAGTAGCTTTCAGCCCAGGGCAACAAATAAATCCAACCCTAATTGCTTGCTTCACACAAATCAACTGTAAAGCAGGTCACATTGGAAGAGTCCTAAAGGCAGTGCCAAATAATCTGAGGTATCATCAAATCATTTTGTGTAACATTGATAAAAAGGTATTTCACATTACATCCAGTCAAATTTGAAGGTACTTAGTTTTCTCTTAACCATGCCTAATGAATACTGAAGAAGCTTTCTCCATTTTGTTTTAATACCATATTAAATGTTTGCAAATATGACCCAGTTACATGGTTTGCATGTTGGACTACAGATGCACATTGCACAGATGGACTACAGATCTACATTGTTGAATTATAGTAGTTTGACACCACCTTAACAGCTATATCTCAATGCCAAGGGATCATGGGATTTGTAATTTGGTGAAGCATCAGTACTCTTTGGCAGAAAAGGATGAAGACCTTGTAAAGCTACAACTCTCACAATTCCATAGCACAGAATCATAGGTGTCAAACTACATTAATTCCACAAAGCAGATGCAGCCCATGACTCTGGAGACCCAGACTGAGGCCCCTGCTCAGTCATGGAAATCCATTGGATGACTTTGGGCAAGTCACACACTCTCAACCTCAGAAGAAGGCAAAGCTGACTCCCTTCTGTACAAATCTTCCGAAGAAACCCTGGTGATAGGTTGAAAGTGTTTTGAAGGCAATGGAGGATGAAGACCTTGTAAAGCTACAACCCTCACAATTCCATAGCACTGAACCATAGCAGGTGTCAAACTAGATTAATTCAATAATGTAGATGTACCCCATGACTCTGGAGACCAGGATTGAAGCCCCTGCTCAGTCATGGAAACCCACTGGATGACTTTGGCCACACACTCTCAGAGGAGAGTGAAGTTCAAACCCTTCTGTATAAATCTTCCCAAGACAACCTGGTGATAAAATTGGAAGTGTCTTGAAGGTACACATTGTTCCCAAGGGAAGCACTTTTTAAAAATCCAGCAAATCGACTGAGTTTTAACTCTTTAACTCTCTTCCACGGAAATTAATTTTTTAAAAACCACTAAAAGTGCTTTTTGAACTTTACTAGAGAGTCAGGTCTCATGTTTGCCTCCTGATAGCTCCGAAGGCCTGCAGCCCTCTCTCTCTCTTACTAGTCCACTGGAAGCCAGTGCGGGAGGCATCTGGGAGAGAAAGCCTCGGGGCTTCCTCTTCCCTGCAGGAAGCATCCCTGAGGAGAGGAGGAAGCGGCAGACCTCCTTCCCGCAGCTCCAAGGGCATGAAGGGCGTTTAGAGGGCGGCGGGGGGGGGGGGCAGAGGGAGAGTGAGAGGAAGAGGCGACGGAGGCCGAAAGGGGACCCGGAAACGTGGGAAGCAACGCGATCCGGGCGAGGCGAGCCTTCAAAGAAGAGCCCTGGGCCTTCTCTCCGACTCGTGCGAGGCGTGCTTTGCCTCCCGGAAGGACACGCAGCGCTGCCTTTGGCGGAGGCGCCGGACGGAAAGGAGCCCTGTCCAAATCCCACTCTCCTCTGGAGGGCGAGCAGATGGCGCGGCTTAAAATAGCCGCCCAATGGCCCGCCAGGCCCCGTTCCTGGGAGGGAAGGCCGAGGCGCCGCCCGGGGAAGGATGCCGAGGAGGAGGAGGAGGAGGAGGCAGGGAGGATTGGGTGGACAGCGCTTCCAGAAAGAGGCGCCCGCGGGTGGGGTTGGCGCTCAGGCCAAGGCGGCCTCCTTGGGAAGAAAGGGAAGGCCTGGCAAGGGGGAGAGCACAGCGCCAAAGGTCAGGGCTTGGAGGGCAAGGCGATGGCTCCTCGCCCAGGCCTCAGCGACTGGCTCCAAGCCTCCTCCACCCCTCCCTCCCTTCCTTCCTTTTGCTTCTCTACTGGATCTCCTCTACCGCGACGCAGCGTGGGCTCAGCTTACCGCTCCGCCGGGCTCCTTTCCGTGGCTGCAGCAGGGCTTCTGCGGAGTGACAGCTGGCGAGGAGGCGGCGGAGAGGGGCGAAGGGGAGGGGGAAGGGGCCGAGGGGGAGGAGGAGGAGGAGGAGAGGCGGAACGAGGCGGGCCTGTCCTGCGCCGAGGCCAGCATCGCGGAACCCTCCCCGCGCGGCTGCGAGACGTGACTGCGGCGCCCGCTCCCGCCTGCCTGCCTGCCTCGCCGCCTCGCCCGGCTGGCTCCTGCCGAGGGGGCGGGGCCTCGGAAGCGGCTCGGCCAATCCTAGGGCCTGCCTCCCGTTGAGCGTTTCACGCGCCCCAAGAAGAGCCAGGGGGCTGGCACTGGAGGCTGCGGCAGGCGGGCAGGCGAGGCAGCGCGAGACTGTGCGCCTGCGTGGTGCTGCGAGCGAACCACGGGTCCACAGCTCGGCTTCTTGGGGCGATGCATCCTCCCTGAATGCCCAGGGTTCTGGGAGTTGGAGTACAAAAGGATGGTGGAAGAACTCTTTTAGGCCTCGGCTACACTGGCTGACTAATACAGTTTCAAACCGGTCTTGCTGTGCAAATAGTTGCATCAGGAAGAGCGAGTCTACACAGGCATCCTTCCAAGGCGTAGTATCCACTAGGCATACATTCCCCCCGTGCACTGCACTACACCTCTATCCAGGCACAACTGTTGTTGTATATTTCTGAGCAGGCCTTTGCAAATTATTATTATTATTTATTATTTATTATGATTGTAATAATGATTATTATTATTTAGAGCTTTTATAACCCGGTCTTCTCGAACTCCGAGGAGGGACTCAGGCCGGCTAACAACAGAGAATCAATATGCAAATAAACTAAAGCATAATAACATCATAGTACATTAATACATCAAAACACATTAAAATACAGATCAAGAATTACATAAAGCTGATTCGTCAAGGTAAATCACAAATTCATCCCATCCGCCTTGTAGTCAACAGTTATTGATTCCATCATCAATCTGAGAATGCTAAGTTCCAGAGCCAAGATTTTACCATCTTTCTGAAAGTCAGGAGGCAGCATAATTATTGTATCCATCTGCAGCTACTGTAGAATGAATGCAGTTGGATACAATTTTAACTGCAACGGCTCAAGGCTATAGAATTATGGGAGTGATAGTTTGGTGAAGGAGCAGAAAAGGCTAATGAACCTGGTAAATCTAGAACTCCCAGGATTCCACAGCATTTAGCCATGACAGTTAAAATAGAATCATAGAATCATAGAATCAAAGAGTTGGAAGAGACCTCATGGGCCATCCAGTCCAACCCCCTGCCAAGAAGCAGGAATATTGCATTCAAATCACCCCTGACAAATGGCCATCCAGCCTCTGCTTAAAAGCTTCCAAAGAAGGAGCCTCCACCACACTCCAGGGCAGAGAGTTCCACTGCTGAACGGCTCTCACAGTCAGGAAGTTCTTCCTAATGTTCAGATGGAATCTCTTTTCTTGTAGTTTGAAGCTATTGTTCTGCGTCCTAGTCTCCAGGGCAACAGGAAAACAAGCTTGCTCCCTCCTCCCTGTGGCTTCCTCTCACATATTTATACATGGCTATCATATCTCCTCTCAGCCTTCTCTTCTTCAGGCTAAACATGCCCAGTTCCCTAAGCCGCTCCTCATAGGGCTTGTGCTCCAGACCCTTGATCATTTTAGTCGCCCTCCTCTGGACACATTCCAGCTTGTCAATATCTTTCTTGAATTGTGGTGCCCAGAATTGGACACAATATTCCAGATGTGGTCTAACCAAAGCAGAATAGAGGGGTAGCATTACTTCCCTAGATCTAGACACTATGCTCCTATTGATGCAGGCCAAAATCCCATTGGCTTTTTTTGCCGCCACATCACATTGTTGGCTCATGTTTAACTTGTTGTCCACGAGGACTCCAAGATCTTTTTCACACATACTGCTCTCGAGCCAGGTGTCACCCATTCTGTATCTTTGCATTTCTTTTTTTCTGCCAAAGTGGAGTATCTTGCATTTGTCACTGTTGAACTTCATTTTGTTAGTTTTGGCCCATCTCTCTAATCTGTCAAGATCGTTTTGAATTCTGCTCCTGTCCTCTGGACTATTGGCTATCCCTCCCAATTTGGTGTCGTCTGCAAACTTGATGATCATGCCTTCTAGCCCTTCATCTAAGTCATTAATAAAGATGTTGAACAGAACCGGGCCCAGGATGGAACCTGCGGCATTCCATTCATCACTACTTTCCAGGATGAAGAGGAAGCATTGGAGAGCACCCTCTGGGTTCATTCGCTTAACCAATTACAGATCCACCTCACCGTAGTTTTGCCTAGCCCACATTGGACTAGTTTCCTTGCCAGAAGGTCATGGGGGACCTTGTCGAAGGCCTTACTGAAATCCAGGTACGCTACCTCCACGGCATTCCCCGCATCTACCCAGCTTGTAGCTCTATCGAAGAAAGAGATCAGATTAGTCTGGCATGACTTGTTTTTGATAAATCCATGTTGACTATTAGCGATGACTGCATTTGTTTCTAAGTGTTTGCAGACTGCTTCCTTAACAATCTTTTCCAGAATCTTGCCCGGTATCGACGTGAGGCTGACCGGACGGTAGTTGTTTGGGTCATCCTTTTTTCCCTTCTTGAAGATTGGGACCACATTGGCCCTCCTCCAATCTGCTGGAACTTCTCCCGTTCTCCAAGAACTCTCAAAGATGGTTGCCAATGGTTCCGAAATGACTTCCGCTAGTTCCTTCAATACTCTGGGGTGTAGTTGATCTGGCCCTGGGGACTTGAACTCATTAAGAGCGGCCAGGTATTCCTGGACGACTTCTTTCCCAATTTGGGGTTGGATGTCCTCCAATCCTCATCCACTCCATCTTGCTGAGGTTGAAGACTCTCTTTTTGTGAGAAGACCGAGGCAAAGAAGGCATTAAGTAGTTCTGCCTTTTCCCTATCCCCTGTCAGCATTGCCCCATCTTCTCCTCGAAGAGGTCCTATCGCCTCCTTGTTTTTCCTTTTTCTACTGACATAAGAATAGAAGCCCTTTTTATTGTTTTTAATGTCCCTGGCAAGCCTGAGCTCGTTTTTTGCTTTAGCCTTGCGGACCTTTTCCCTACAGGTGTTGGCTATTTGTTTGAATTCTTCTTTGGTGATTTCTCCCTTTTTCCACTTCTTGTGCATGTCTCTTTTGTCTTAGCACAGTTAGAAGTTCTTTGGACATCCATTCTGGCTTCTTTGCACTTGTCCTATTTTTTCTCTTTGTTGGCACGGTTTGCAATTGCGCCTTGAGTATTTCACTCTTGAGAAATTCCCATCCATCCGTAACTCCCTTGTCTTTTAGTATCTGTGTCCACGGAATGCTGCTCAGAGTTTCCTTCATTTTTTGGAAATCAGCTCTCCTAAAGTCCAAAATGCGGGTTTGACTTGTCTTAGTTTCGGCCTTCCTTTGTACCTCAAATTGCAGGAGCACATGGTCACTTGCCCCTAAGGATCCTACCACTTCGACCGCATTGATCAGGTCCTCCGCATTTGTTAGGATGAGATCAAGAGTAGCCAATCCCCTTGTTGCCTCTTCTACCTTCTGGACCATGAAATTGTCTGCAAGGCAAGCGAGGAATTTGTTGGACCTTGTACTCTTGGCCGAGTTTGTTTTCCAGCAAATATCGGGATAGTTGAAATCGCCCATGACTACTACATCTCTTCTCTGTGCCTGTTTGGTCAACTGTTGGCAGAAGACTTCATCAAGTTCTTCCTCCTGGCTTGGGGGTCTGTAGTAGACGCCTACAACGACATCTTTTTGAGTCCCAGTTCCCTTGATTCTTATCCAGATGATTTCAAGCTGGTTTCCCAGATTGCTGTCTTGAATCTCTTCTGCAGCATAAGAGTTTTTGACATATAAGGCTACTCCGCCTCCTCTCCCCTTTGTTCGGTTTCTGTGAAAGAGGTTATACCCCTCGATATCTACATTCCAGCGATAGGAGTCATCCCACCAGGTTTCAGTGATCCCTATGATATTATATTTGTGGTGTTGTGCTAAAAGTTGGAGTTCGTCTTGTTTATTTCCCATGCTCTGTGCATTAGTGTAAAGACATGTGAGCCCCTGAGATCTTCCCTTGAGCTGTTTAATTGGGATTATTGTGCTTTTGGTACTTGGTCCTTGTTGTGTTTGTGCAGCCCTCCGTTTAGCCTTCTGGCGATTCCCAGACATTATGGGTAAAGTAGTGTTCGCAAGGCTGTTGTCCCCCTCCCCCGGTGGACCTAGTTTAAAGTGCGTCTAATGAGGTTTGCGAGTCTGTGAGCAAAAAGGTGTTTTCCTACTTGTGTGAAATGCACCCCATCCCTTGCCAGTAGGCCATCCTCCTGGAAAAGCAGGCCATGGTCGAGGAAGCCAAAGCGTTCCTCCTGACACCATTTTCTAAGCCAGTCATTGACCTGTACTATTTTTCTGGCTCTTGTGGGTCCGTGTCTTACAACAGGGAGGAGGGATGAAAAGACCACTTGTACATTACATTCTTTTAGCTTTGCTCCTAGTCAAACTACATTCATTTTACAATGTAGATTCACCCACTGAGGTTCCCATGTCCTGGTGAACCAAGCCCAAGGCATTGTAGCAAAGAGTTTCACAGTAGAGAACAGGGGACACTTTTAATACATGCAATTTGGACATATTCCAGTCTGCTTAATGCACTAGACTAGCAGGAGAAGATATGTATGTTTCAACTATGCAGTGGTTAATGAAAATTCATTATGAATTTAATTTACTGGAGGCTGAAAGTCACCTATTGGTAAGCCAGGGAGCAGCAAAGCAAGGCAAAAAGGCACACCTCTCAGAGTAGAGAAGAGGTCAATCACCAGGAAGAGGATTATTTCACTTAGGAGAAGCATTGAGTTATTTCCTGATCTGGGAATGGTACCGCCCATGAGCTGCAGTTGGGCCACCCTCCTCTCCAAAGGTCCCCTTCTACTTACATGCCCCAAAAATAGTTTGACTGGAGGGGATCACTTTCTGTTTAAAGAGAGTCATACTGGTCCCACTACTGCCCTGTAACAGGTCTAACTTGTTCTCTGCTGCAGCTGTTGTAACCGGAGTGGACTGGTCCTACCACCACAGGCGTCTACCGAAGGCCACTTGGCCTTCTTAGAGCAGAGCTACTCCACCTGCCTTTTGTAAAACGTGCAAAGTGCATGTGCCCCATTTTTTCCAAACTCTCAAAGTGTATACTGTTAGAATGAAGCAAAATCA